TTTAATTAGTGAGAAACGAATCTTATTTTGGAGAGAACTAAAAATGCCACCCTGCCAAGAAGCCTGTAATACGCACTGATAGTAAGAAAGCATGACTGTCAAAAGAAAAACAGACTCAACAATATTCCTGTGATCTGACTTGTTTCTTTTTCTACCTAACTCACTCAGGTCACCCAGTCTAGTCTGGCCATATGGGCTTACCTCAAGTCATGCATTCCTTCCATCACCACACCTCAAACTGAGGGCAGAATAGACAGTAGTGAATGATCAGCTTTCTTATAGTTTATCATCAGGATTCTGGGATGAAGCTGGAAAGTTTCAATGAGTCTGTTCTTATTTCAGAGATGATATTAGAAGCATCAAATATATTTTTACTTTGCTGAGTTCTAAATTTTCTTTGAAAACAGTGTCTTATCATCGGACAAACCTGTGTATTGGGAAAGCTGCATTCACTAGTCATGTGTGAGCTGATGTGTAAAGTTAAATTCCGCTTCCTAGGAACTGTAATTTTAATTATGCTCAGGTCACTGCAGCAGTAGCAATGCCCCATCTCTTGCTGCCATAATTTCACCCTGCCAGGGCTTTATTTTCTCAGTTGTTTTGGCCAGAGTCAATTGAAGAACATGGAAAACATGATTTTATTCAAACTACATGGACTGTAAAAAACAGTTTGAAACAACATCAGCTCAGACAGATTAGGTAAATTAGATGAGTGGGCAAAATAATCCTGCCCCCTCCTTCCCTCCCACCCCATCAGTCATCTTTATAATTGAATTCACATCGTCAGTGCAGCAGGCGGTATGTGCTCCCCTGTTGTTCCAAGTCCAAATTCAGGGATTTTCTTGTCAGACGTGAACTCCTCCCTGGAAAGCTTTTCCTGGAGATGCCTGTCCACACCGGGAGAGCAGATTTGGATAAATGTTCATCAGTGAGTGTAATGGCTAATTGTGTTAGGGTCCGAGAACTCGATTACCGCGAAAGACAGAGCGTCACACAAGAATGCAATTTGCAAAGTAGAATTTATTGGGCTGGCTAGCCAGGGTCAAGCCGTTCCCTGCCGGACACGCAGGTTCAGGAAAGACCCCATCCAAAGGAAAGTCAGGGAATATATTGGCCTTGTTGGCCGTTACATACGTCAGAGCCCGCGCAGATTCAACTTTAGCAAATGGATTCAAGGATTAACAGACATCACAGCCTGGGTCACAGTTCAACCACCCAGTGACAGGTTCCCAGGAATAGATGTCTCATTTTCTGGTGCTCCAGATCCAATCAGCCTGGGCCACACCACTCCCATCATCCAATCAATCCCAAATGCATATTGTCCCTCTTCAACCCATCCTGCACTCCGGGGGGGTGGGGGGGGGGCGGGTGCCCGCCCGGGCCAGTCCAGCCCTGCTCAGCCACCCCCTCCATTCCTTCAATTGGACATTGTCGTACAAACCCATGTGCAGGAGTTTCAACTGTTTAGATAGTTCAGACTCTACTTGTAATAGTGACAAAATGCTCCATTGTTTTTTTACCTTCTTCCAGACCCCAATTTTCTGTCCTTTTATGCCTATACTCTGAGCTTGTAGAATTTGCCTTTTCTGGCTGTTAGTGGCATTGAAGTTCTGAAAAATCATGTTATAGATTTCCTTTCATATAGTTTCTACAAAGAAAGTGGTATTTCTTGAATTTTGTAATGCTGACAAGAAACTAAAGGAATGGAACAAATGTTGAAGTTATTAAGTGGGTACTGGCTCCAGAGAAACAAGCTGGACAGCTGGCACATGGTGGCACACCTCAGGGCAAAGGGTCAGAAAATGCAATTATTTGATTAAAGAAGCAGTAGGGTAAATGTGCCAAAATGAAATTTCAGAGGCTTTCTGAAATTGAACATGGGTTTGAGGAAACAAAAAAATACTTCAGATGGTGTTTCTGTTACCATAGCTGACATGGGCTGCCTTGCTCCCTTCTGGTACCAAGGTGTTCCGATGGGAGGGATATACTGGGCGGTCGTGAACCATTCATGATACTCCACTGTCACTGAAAAGAAGAAGGCAAATAAGAGAGCATGAAGTGAGAGTTCCTCTTAGATTAGAAGACTAAGCCTCCCTTGAGGCTAGATGTTTAAAGCTAGATGGTTAAACTGCTGATTTTGCAGACATTTAGTTATCTGTTGCTGCATATCAAATTACCCCCCTGTGAGCAACTTAAAATCATGTTTATTATCATCATTTCTCTGGTACAGAAATTCTAGACAGCTAAGCCTAGTGCCTTTCACTCAATCTCTCTGCAAGGCAGGTGTTCTTTGGGGCTGCTGTCAGTTCCAGCCTCAACTTGGCGAGGATCTGCTTTCAAAATCACTCACAGGGCTATTGGCAGGCCAGATGTTCTTGGTAATTATTGTTGAAGTTAGCAACTCCTTGACATGTTGGCTTCAACATAAGGACACTCACAAAAGGACAGCTTTCTTTCCCCCAGGAAAGGATGCTAAGACAGAAAGGGTTTGGGGGTGAAGAGGAAAGGGATGTAAGGGAGGGAGAATGAACAGGATATGAGGGGACATAACCCACAGTCTCTTCATAACCTACTCTTAGACTCCATCATGTTACTTCCAGTGACCCATGAGTTAAGAAATCCACCCCTCATTAAAGGGGGATTATAGAAAGATGGGTACCTGGAGACAAGATTCATAGGTGGTTCTCTTAGAGGCTGTATCATGGACAATGGTCACATTTTCCATTTCAATGGATACCTGTGAATTCCCCAGTCCCTCTTGTTCTTGGGATGTTGTCTTGGTGCCCGAAGTTTCTCTAGAGTCAGTCAGGGACTCTCTCACCAGGACAAAAATCTTGGGATGAGGATATCTGCTGAATACAGCAGGTATACATTATAATCAGATTAGCAAAACTGGCTAGACCACCTTGACAGGCATTTAAGTGTAAACAGGGATGTTTTGATCAGCAGCAACAATGGACTCCCCAGGCAACAGCTCAGCTCCTATTCCTTCCTCCCCTTAGCTTGTTGCCAGACTGTTTTGCCTCCCCAATCCACATCCCCACACACATTCCTCCACAGACTTGCCCACCTTCCTTGAATCTGACCCCCAAATAAATGTGAGACTTGCCATGGGGGAAGGTGCTATTATATCTCCAGATATGAGAGCCCCTCTGGGTCTCTCTCTCTCTCCTTGGACTTTGAATTGTTTTTCCTCTGCCCTGCACTGCTCCCAAGGTTGCTGCCCGGAAGGTGATGGATACCAACTTTCATTTCTTCATCCATTACTATGAAGGTCATTGACATGACATGACATGTTTGTATCGAAAAGATATTATAATTGATTGTATGGATTGCAGTTTTTATTTGATATATTATTTTGATTAGTGATGAGAGACATTGTGGAGGCAATGGGAAAACATTTTCTTAGATAGGGAAATGTGTGAGCTGAGTCCTGAGCTACAACCTTTCACTCTCCTTATTGGTAGATTGGGCTTGATGGGAAATATCCTTCATAAGTTTTGAGCTGCGTTCAGAAAGGACTTAGATTACACTGATGCTACATTCTTCATCTTATAATGAATATTTTACTATGCATTTACTATATGATAACGTCGGTGTTTGTATTGATCTTCAGTACAAATAAATATTTGGTTTAATGAGTTGTTTTATAATCACTTTATAATTTTGGTTACTGTGGACTGATTTGGAAAAATGGTAAGAGCGAAAGCATACTGTTTTCCTGACAGGATAGCTCCCTGATATTTTACCAGATGATTGACAGTAAAATGTTCTCTGACCCTGTAGAATTTGGGTTAAAGAACATTATAGGACATTGGAGTTGCTAAGAATCTTTATGATTAGTTACTTCAAATTCCTTCAATTTAAGGATAGGAAGACAGACAGGAAATGAAAATGAGCTAGAATTATTAATTCACTGCTCTAACTGCTCTCTCTACCAGTGTTTAGAAATTAGAAATGCAGAGAAATAAAGAAATGGTCCTACTTTCTTTGTAATGATATAAAAACAAATTAATAGAGGTTGGGAAATATTTTTTTTTCAAATAACTCCTTAAGGGATTATATTTATATTTCTAGGAATTATCCCAAAACACAAGTGGTATTTACTAAATAGGTATTGATCTTAATGTCTTCCAGACACTAGTGGATTGCATTTTCAGTTACTGTCATCCAAGTTTGGGCACCCATTACAGGGATTAGTTTGACTTTTGTAGTCACTATTGTGTGGTCTTGATATGATAGTAGTTTTTGAGTGATTAGGAATGAAATGTTGAAGGAAAATATTTTTTTTCCATTGTGTATAGATATGCCATATCAATGGCAACATGAAAAATTGAGCTAGAAACAAAAAATTGTGTTCTTCATGAATCAGTCATATAATCTAAGCACCATTGTGTGTGTGTGCATGGGCATGTGTATGTAGCATTGGTTTAAAGCACTGTATATGATTTAGAGGTATAATATTTCACTTTTCAGGTATCTGTTACCATATTGACCAACAAGGCACCCATAGTTCTCTACCATAGTCCATCATGTCCCCTCAATTATGTTTCTCCCCCGTTTTAGCTCCTCATCCTAATTCAATTCTACAGTCAGATTTCTAGGATTTGCGATTGCTTTGCTATTGGTTTATCTGGTGATTTGTTTTTCTATATTCCATATATTGTTGATGTCATCTAGTATTTGTCTTTCTCCGTCTGACTTATTTCATTAATATGATCTTCTCCAATTTCATCCATTTTGTCACAAATGGAAAAAGTTTATTTATTTATTTTTTACAGCTGAGTTGTTTTCCATTGTGTATATATGCCACATCTATCTTTGGGCACTTAGATTGTTTCCTTAGCTTGGGTATTATAAATAGTGCTGCAATGAACATAGGTACATATATGCTTTTTAATTAATGTTTTGAATTATGTAGATACTAGGAGTAGAATTGCTGGATCATAAGGTATATCTATTTTTCATATTTTGAGAAACTTCCATACTCTTTTCCATAGGTGTTATTCCAACACATGAAAAGTCATTCATCATCACATAACAAGCTGTATTTTTCAAGCCTCTTTTACTGAAGTAAGTTACATTTTCCTGTTCTCCTATAACACCTTGGGGTCTGCTTTTGTTAATTTTGTATGACGGGATGGTAAACTTTGATCTTTGCATATCTTTCTCTTTGTAACTTTTTGAATGAAGGACTTAGCCTAATTCATATTTATAATTCTAATATTTAAGAAATATTTACATGCATTCATGTAATGGAAGGACTGCTTCTATAATTGGGCAGATGAGGAATAGAGAAGATAATTGTGTGATAACTAAGTTAATTTCACTTCTTCAAGTAAATCATTTGCTCTAACAGTACCTGAGGGAGGATTTTGAGTTCTGTTTCAGAAATTCAATTTGGTAATATAACATCAGGTTCCAATACTGTGATTTTTTACAAATAGTGGTTAACTTTGGGCAAATTACTTTTGGGTATTTTTTCAATTTGTGAAAGTAGAGAATTGGATTAGAACAGTGAATTTTTAAGTCAGCATAGGTAGCATTCCATTTTGGGGGAAGGGTATATATTAGAATTTCTGAGTTGGAGAAGAAAAAACATATAGATAGGAATTTTCAAAAATCCTGAAATCCAGTAGTTAGAAAAACTAGACTTCTTGAAAGGAAGTAGATATTCAAGCAGAGTTTCCTGAAGATCAGTGGAATGTCATGTACACTTAAAGGGCATTTAATGGGAAATGTGTGGTGGAATTTGGCTAGAAGGTCACATTTCCTTTAAGCACTATATTCTGAGAGTTGGTGACTAGAGAGGGCCTATGTTATTCAAGAAAACAATGTTAAAAAGAGCAAGCTTGAAGGAAGAAAGAAGTTGGCCCCCAGCTAAGAGTGACCTGAGATGGTGTCAAGATTGGACACTGAGAAGCAGAAACAAAGTCTCTAAACAAAGAACACTGAACTTGGAGGCATCCATGAACTGATGTTGGAACCATCTTGGTTCAAAGAAAATCAAGAGCCCAACTGCAGCTCCCTTCTGCACCACATCTACTCTCATCCATCTGTACATTTCCAGAACTAAATGTCACTTATTAAAGTTCCAAAGTTTATAGCCCAAAAGGAGCTTAGTCTTAGGGAAATGATCCAAGAATGTATTGGTCTCCAATGTAAAGCCAAACTGAATTTTTATTAACTTCAGTGCTGAATGACAAAAATAATCACTGCAGATATTAAATGTTATTAATTTTAAAGTGTTAGTTACTTATATACAGATAGAGTCAATTGAAAGGGATAGCCAATTGAACAATATTTTTAAATGACTTCCATTATTTTGGGATCTGTATGATCCTATTATAGACCCACTAACATTTTACAAAGGTCTAAAGTAACTTTATTTATGTATTGATTTATTTGTAGATTAATCTGTCATCTATCAAAATCTAAATAATGGGTAAATCTCGGCTTGAACTAATTGTTCTACCATATAAACATGTGGCGATATTCTTCTGTGACCAGAGAGTGAGTTTAAAACAATTTATCTTGTAAATAAAGGAATATCTATTTATAGCAATAAGGGAAAGATCAGAGCGTGGAGTTCTATATTCAGAGGTGATTCCTCTGAAATCCATGGCAAAGTCACCCACTGTGGTGACCATATTTTCTGAGAGTTTCAGACTGTTAGATTATACACTATAAATTTTTGAAGGCTTACAAGTTTTTAAGATGTTAAAACAATAGATGTGATGCATATTTATCACAGGAGAGTTGGAAAATACAAAGAGAAAAGAAAATTAAAAATATTAATATTACATGAAACAGGCTGACTTAGAAATATATGTACAAGTCAGCTAGACTGTAGGTATATGAGTAATTCCTGCTTATATCAAGTGAGCTACACAGATGCTTGAGAAATAAATGAATGCTGCTGAGAATTTTTGGTTGTTATGCCGCAATTTTGTGGCATCAGCTAACTAATGTAGTGTAGTAGACAAATCTATACTCTCTTGCTCATTTTAAGTTCAGAATGTCACTTACAGAAAGGCTAACCATTTGATTCAAAGTTAAAGCTGTTCAGTGTATAAATATCTGATTAAAAATGTAGTTTGCTGTAAAATAAATGCACATTATCTATCATACTTCACAAAGTGTTACCATTCATACCATCTTTTCTGATCTTCTCAACTCAAAGGCAAGCAGGGTAGAGTTGAAGCTCTTTCTTCCCCCTCAATAATTACAAATGCATGTTTTTGTTTCTTCAATTAGCTTATCCTCACTTTTTAAGAGGTATCAATTCCCTCAATAGTTCAACCTAATTCCACCAGATTTAACAAAAATACTCAAAACCTCTTTAGATCAGTGCACTAGTACAAAGAACCCAGTGGCCATCTGACAGAGAAAATATGAGGCAGAAGGAAAGTATTGGATAGTTTCTTTTCTGGGCCCATCCCAACTCCTATGTGATACTGGAAAAATTTATTCAGTGTAATTGCAAATTTTTTTTTTACTTTAATTAAGGGTATTAACTAGGGCTGAGAATAAGTAGACTTTTCCCAGGTTTCTGACTTAATTTTGTTTTAGGAAGGGGAGAAAAAGTGAGTTTTGCCAGCAAAACTCATTGAGTTGAGTTTGGAGCCACATTCTGTGATTAACTATACTCTTTGAAAATTAACCTGACAGTTGTTTATAAATATTACAAATTCACAAGAGGACATTGAAAACCATCATTTCTTCCAGCATTGCACTAAAAAAAAAGATCAAAGCTAGGTGGGAATGATGCAAAGAAAATGTTTTCCTTTAGTGATGAATTATATGATGAAAAGAAAGTCAAAGCAGCCTCTTCCCATCAGTCTCCTTTGGCTTCCTCTACTCCCAAACCATTTGTTTAAAAACTGTGCTGACCTACTATGAAGAGCTCTTTTAAGAATCAGAAACAACCGACTACCTGAGCCCCTGGAGGAAAAACCAGAAGCCCAGATTTGCTCCTCTACATTTCCCACTAGAGCAGATTGTGTGTGTTTTAAAGTGATGTGTTGCGATGGGTTTGCTGCCTTGATATGGTGCTCAGTGGCCCTGTGTCAAACAGTAGCCTTGAACACACTCCAGGGAGAAGAAGGAGCAGAAAGGTCAATGCATAGTAATGTCCAGGGTAATGTGTCAGCTCATAAGTCTTCAGAACCTCCTGCCATGAAAAACAGCTGCAGCTTGCTAATGTCTGAACCCTGGTCTCTTTCTGTCTCCCTGTTTTGTCCTTGCATGAAAAACTGTAACTGGATCTATTCCTGCGTGGCCTCAAAGGCAACCCATTTAACAACTGGGCCCTGGCCTGCCAGGTACTTGAAAAGAAATGCAATGTATCAACACCCTGTAGTATTTCATCTTACAGCAGTTCAGGCTGGCCTGTTTTCAGCCTCACTTGCTTTGCTTCTGGCACTGGTTAGGCTGCCCTGTCCCCATTAGCATGTCATTAGTGCTATTAATGAAAATCCAGTTTTACACACTGAAAAATGATCTGAAGCAGTCTTGAGGAAATGCTATAAAGACTGCCCTGCTGTTAGCAGGAGCCTTTGCACACCTGAAGCTTGACAGGGCTCTTAAAATGTTCTCTCCCCTTGGGTAGAAGGTGGTAGAGCAAGTATACATAGTATAACATGTAGTACAAATAGATTTATTCTGGAATCCAACTGCCTCTTTATAAAATCCATGCACCCTTTGATGGAGTAGTGGTAAGGTTTTGTAGCTTGAGGAAACTGACCAATAACCCTGGAACAGGAATTGATGGCAAAGCCAATAGTGTTAATCCTCTGTGGCATTTACTTCAAACAAAAATAAAGAAGTACAGGTTATTCATTTTAAATAATTGTGCATTTTTATAAAGCTCAAGTAAGGAATATATTTATATACTATAACATAGGAAGAAAGGAAAGCTAGTAATTTTAATTCTAATGGCGGGGGGAGTAATACCTTTTTACATGTGGATCAACTCATAAATTTTATCACAGAGAAATTTTCTTTAAGAAACATGGTACTAGATAACGAGCCAGTGGAAACACAAATTAATCCATTGCACAAAAGAAAAAAGGAAATATTGGTGGTGTATGGGAAGCAGGGTAGATAATTAAAATAATGTTTTTATGTTATTCAGTGGGAAGGCATTAAAATGGGTTAACTCCAGACTTGCTAAAATAAACATTAGTGACATATAATTAGAATAATATATCATGTGAGTGGATCAAGAAGATGGGCGTGTATACACACACACACACACACACACACACAATGGAATATTATTCCGTAATCAAAAAGATAAACTCATGCCATTTGCTGCAACATGGATAGAGCTTGGAGGGGTTATGCTCAGTGAAATAAGTCAAAAGGAAAAAAATATCGATGGTTTCATTTAGAGAAAGAATAAAAGGGAATAAAATAAGGGATGAGGGGGAAAAAGGCAAAAAATGTCAGGTAACTAAAAGTTAGAGACATTCATCAGGGGAGTGAGAGAGGCTAAATCTGGGGTGAGACACAAGAGACTGGTGATAGTTCACGAGTGATTTGGTAGTAGAAATTTTATGAAGACTACATGTAAGAGGAGAAATCAAATATTGCACAAAATTGAACAGTGATATAAAATAGATAAAGAAATAATACTTGAAAAATAATGTATCATGATGAAATTGAATTTGTGAATTGTGGTATATTCACAGAAATGAATAATGTAAGGCTACACAGCTCCATGAATTAAGTATACTAACAGTAGGGTAGAATAGCAAAAGCATAATGGTAAGAAAAAAAAGAAAAAATCTAGAAACAAAATAAACATACAGTATAGTTTCTATTAAGAAAAAGCATAAACACAATGAAAAAATAATCTATGATGTTAAAATCACAAAAATGGTTATTTTTGATTGGATTTAGTGACTAAATGGTGGTATGGGGTATATGTTGCTGACCTGCTAATTGTGAAAATTTGTCAAGTTGTATATTTAGCCTGTATGTTTTATTTCCAAAATATTTCATAACCCCCAAAAATGAGAAAAAAAAATTTCTATGCACCACCCCCCCAAAAAAGAAAAAAACTTTAG